CGGGAGCAGTCCCCCAGTGTGCACAGATCCACTGAAGAACAGAACTCAAAATCTTCCATATGGCTCCAACTCTACTTGAGCAGCTTGTTACCACTGTGTCATCAAACTAGCCTTTCTTTCTTTCTTTTTTTCCTTTTCTTTTAATAAGTATATTTTTGGGACCAACAGATGGTGAAATGGTTACATTGCTGGACTCCCACATAGTTAACCACTATTCCCAGAACCGGCGGCTTAAAACTCATGCCAGGCATGTGGGCATGTGGGCCCATCTCGAGAGGAGAATGGAGGAGAAGGGATTGCGTCGTGGCTATGCCCCCTGGGGGGTGATTTCTCACTTTTTGTCTCTGTCTCTCTCTGGCAAGCGCACATGCACTAATGCAAAAATCTTCCTCTCTCAAAAAGGTGTATTTTGTATTTATATTTTAAATTCCTTGAGGTCTTTAAAATAAAAAGTAAAAGATGGGCAGGATAGAGGCACAATGGTAATACATGATGTTTTTCCAGGTTGATCCACACGGGAAGTTTCTAGGTGCATGGCTAGAGACGTCCCTGTATGCCAGGCACATGTGTGCGCATGATCTGAGTCTGGCTGAAGCTGGGGTTCAATCACAGCACCTATGTTGTAGATGCTGTTTCCCCCCCTCTCTCTTTCTCTTAGAAGAAATAACTAAACTTTTTCTTTTAAAAATTGTTTAAAAAAATGACAGCAGATAAAAACAAAAATCTTCAAGTTAGGAAAGAAAACATATTTTTAGTATATTCTACAGGCATTCCTATTTTCTATTTTTTTGAGAGATTTTTGCTATAGGGCATATGCATTCACTGGAGAGACAGAGAGACAGAAAAAGAGGAATCACTCCCCAGGGGGTTGGCCACACCTCAGTCCCTTCTCCTCGATTCTCCTCTCAGGATTTTCAGCACACATGCACAAACACCTGGCATGAGTTTTAAGCACTGGGTCTGGGACTTGAACTGTGATCTACATGTGGGAGTCCAGTGACCCAACCATTACTCTATCTGCTGGTTCCCTGTCATTCCTATTCTTCTGCAATGCAGAGGTGAAGTTATGAATTCTATCAGGCATCCAACTGGAGGTGATGGGCTAGTCGGCAGCCTTCTGGAATCAGACTCTCTTCTCTGTGTTCTCCTGTCCTCAGAACTGATACTGGTCTGTGGTGGAATCAGGCATAGCGATGGAAGAGAGGACTGATTTGTCTGCTGGGCCAGACCTGGACAGGGCTCTAGGCTTCTGTGCATGAACAGTGCTCCTTATAGAACCTGAGTAAACAACAGTAGGTTGTTCTTCTGTATTATGTATAAAACAGATCTTCTCTTTTACTGATCTACAAAGAGATCAAGAGGTGAGTCAATGAGGGAGTTGAACCATCCATCCAAATCTTTCCTGTTTAATGTCTCTTCATAAAACTGAAGCATCCTGCAGTTAATAAGAGCTCTTAACTACATTTTGTCTCCAGTAGTAAATTTATTCTCAGAGTATTAGGATATTTCTTCAATTCCTTTTCTCAATAACATTGTGTATTCAAAATCTCAGGTTGAAAACATTAAAAAAATGTTATCCTCATGAAGTTGCTCTCTGGATAACTATCTAGTTGTCATTTTCAAGGCTGCAATGGTTTTTCAATCTGATGGGCAAATTAAAGTGATTTCAGTTTGCTAAATTACTGTCATCGATTGGCTCATTGTTACATCACAATTTCTCATTTCTATGGCGACAATAGGCTTTTGCTAGAATCTCTAGTCAATCTCTCAGCTACCATGGAGAATAACTGCTGCATTTCTCTGGATAACCAGTCAGTGGCTTTGTACGGTTATATGTTAGTGGAAAAATTAGTTGATGTTTTCTGCCCTTTTCATTTTATGTTTGTGAAATATTTGCAAAGATCAGACTAATTGTTCTAGTTTGATCTAAAAATTCATAAGCTACCTTGTTGAGAAATAACAGAAGGTTTTTAAAATGCCATTATAAAGTTCATCAACATATACATGGCTGACATTATCCAGTACAGATTAATAAGTTTCTTTTACAATTTATAAACTTAAAACCTTACTAGGAGGTAGTTATTTTTTAAAGTTTATCTATTTCTTCCATAAATGAGAGTAACAGAGATAGAAAGAGAGAGAGAGACACACACAGAGAGAGAGAGAGAGAGAGAGAGAGAGACAGCATCTCTAACAGGGTTCTGGTCCTGCAATCCACCTCCAAAATCAGCCAGCCTGAGATCGTGGGCATGTACATGTTCGGTCTGCTCAGAGAGATCTCAGGGCATGAACCTGATACCCTCCCACATAGGTTAGGGAGCTCGCAGAGCATTGTCTTTTGCCACTGAATTGCTATCTAACCCCTAGCCATCTATTTTCTTTCTTTTATTACATTTATTGTTATTTATTTATTTTTTATATTCATTGACCGTATATCATTACAGCATGAAAATGAATTTTCCCATCCAGAATACACTGTATATTGGCTCAATTGAAGATATGATTACACAGATTGTCTTCAATGGATAATTTTCCATTTTGTGTTTCTTAAATGTTTTTATTCTTTCTTTTTTCCCTTGCTTCTCTCCCTCTCAAAGACCTATACATGGAGCTATCATATGATCCAGCAATTCCACTCTTGGGTATCTACCCGAAGGATACGAATACTCTCAGCGGGAAAAGTACTAGCCTTCTATTTTCAACATGGGCATCTGTCTTCTATTTCTCCCCATATTGTGAACTATTTGTGCTTTTGAAAATGTTGATCCTTTCTTGTGTTTGATCTAAAATCCAAATGTTCCTTCTTAGAAAAAGAAAGCAATATCATCCTGTTCTATGCCGATTTGTTTCTATCTGTTGAAAATGTTACCATTTTAAAGATTTAATTGGCAATCTTATTATGTGGTTGCAAATACCATTCATATCTATGTTGGAATTGTATATAACACTACAGAATTTTTTAAAAATAAACTGAAAATGCGACACTGAAAGACTTGGTTATTTTTCTTGATGAATGGTAACTTACTTTATTGGCTAGCACTTTATTTATAAGCAGAGAATAATATACTGGAATATCTGTTTTCAAAGTATTCCCAATCTGTTTATAAAGACATGCCAGGGAAGACTTTGAATAGTATAGCTTAGCCAGCATCTTTAAAATGACTTTTATGGCTTTCATTATGGGAAAATAAAGGGGAGTTAGAGAATAGAACTGTCATATTTTACCACTAGCACTTTAAAATCTTAATAAGCTAAGTGGGAATTACATCATCAACGTAAACATTGGCTGCTTGCTTATTTATTTATTAAAATTGACAAAAGGGTTTAAATTTATTATGTACAGCATATTGTTTTAAATTATATTTATATTGTGAAATAGCCAAATCAAACTAATTAACATGTGCATTACCTCACATAGGAATCATTTTTATAGTGACAGCACTTAACATCCATTCTCAGCACTTTTTTTTTTTTTTGAGAGGTTTTTTCACTATAGGGCACGTGCGCTCACCAGACAGACAGAGACAGAGAGACAGAAAGCGAGAAATCACCCCCCAGGGAGGATGGTCACGCCGCAATCTCTTGTCCTCCATTCTTCTCTCGGGATCTTGGGCACGCATGCACATGTGCCTAGTGTGAGTTTTTAAGCCACCGGGTCTGGGACTTGAACCGCAGTCGACTATGTGGGAGTCCAGCAACATAGTCATTACGCTAACTGCTAGTTCCCCATTCTCAGCACTTTTTGAGACTACATATATTACTGTATTCTTATTGTCATTACTGAACTTACCAGGCCAGATGATCACTTAAGCTTATTTCTCTTATAACTGAAATTTTTGTACTCTATAACCAATATCTCCACAAACCCATCCTTGGAATCTGGTAATCACCTTTCTACTTTCTACTTCTATGACACAAACTTTTTTATAGTTTACATGGAAGATCCTGTAGCATTTTCTTTCTGTACCCGGATTATTTAATTTAATATAATGTCTCCAAGTCATCTGTCTTGTCTAAAATGAAAGAATTTTCTTCTTTCTTTTGGTTCAATATTATTATATTGTATATAAACATTTTTCTTAACCCAAATGGATTGAAAAAGAGAAAATTTTCCAAGCGTCCATTGATAGACACTTGGGTTGATTTTGTATCTTGGCTATTGTAAATAGTGTTGCA